TGTGAGCTAAAAGTGTGTGTTTTGAGTAGTAGAAGAATAAGGTATTGCATCAAGGAGTTGGAGAAGTGAGGCAAGCTTGTAGATATGAGGTTATTTTGTGCTCTAGAAGCTATAGGAGGTAAAAAGCTCCAACATTTATGCTTGCATGATGTAGATCTTGCCTTATTATCTTTATAACACCTTTCTTGTCCCCAAAAGTCCCAATATTGTGCATGTTATGTTTTGGACATGATAAGCGGTCCTTTCAGACCCTAGAAAGGGTCCTAAGTGATAAAAATGATTTTCCAATAGCTAAAAGTGTCCCATGCATGTAGTAGAAAGGTCTTAACGGGTTAAGATAAAGTATTAAGGCTTTTTGGACGTCCAAAGTCTTAAAGTTTAAGACTTTATGGTTCTGAGGTTCGTTTAGTCCATGGATCTGGAATTTGGACTCAAGTGCTTAAGTCATTAAGAACTTATTAAGGATTTGGTAAAACCAACGTATGCCCCGCATAAGTTTTGTACGCTTAGCGTACTGAGTCAACCACTTGAATGGTGGTCAACACAAGGCAGAGTACGCCCATCGTACGCCCTCTGATGGGCTTTTGATGATTTGGGCTTCGGGATTGGGCTGCCTTTGGACCAGTTTGACTTGGGCCTTGTTGGATTTTCTGAAGATGTGTGTTGTAGGCTAGTTTTGGTAATGGATCTTAAAATGACACCTAATTAGGAAGTTGGGCCCAATTTGGAAAATTGGGCCAATGATGGGCCTTATATATTTGGACTTTTGTATCATGGATCTAGTATTGGGCCTTGGCCCAAATTAGAGAAAGGGACAAATAGACTATTGCTCTATGTGGGACCCTTAGTCAAGATTGATATGCCAAATGTTGACTTGGTATTCGTTATTTTGGATAGTTCAGGATCTTCGGTGAGACAACAGTCGGAGACTGTCAGTCCAGTTCAGCACTACTTTTGAGGTGAGTTTTGCTCACTATACTCAAGGGTCGAAGGCACCAAGGCCGACCCTTTGGATTGTTATCCTGCTTATTGTTAGTGTGATCGGTTATATCAAAATCTTGGTAGATAGGATGTTTCTATGTGGTTATGATCGGTTAGATCAGTATCCTGGTAAACAGGATGTTGGTGTGCTTAGTGATCTGTAGATCGATTTGTCTGTCTGTACACTGTTATGTGATTATCTAATATATGTGCACATGATTGATTGGTGGTTGAGGCTTATATGCTTTGTGCGAGAGCCAACAGACCGGGGCATTCCAACCCAATGGTTGTGGGCCAAGAGTATTCTATCCCGATGATGATTGGACTCATAGTATGTGGGCATTCCAACCCGATGGTTGTGGGCCGAGGGTATACCATCTCGATGATGATTGGACCCATAGTATATTAGCATTCCAACCCGATGGTTGAGTGTGACATCCCCATTTTTACGGCCAGAAAAGACCGATTTGTTTATGATTTGTTTTATAAAATCAGAGTAATCTTTTAAAGAAAATGGTTGCGGAATTTGTTCCCAAAACAAGATAAGATAATAACTTATCAAAACATTTCTCAAAGAGAATGTATTTTCATTTAATAATAAAACCTCGGGATGTCATGTTCTGATACAGACATATAAGCATAAACAGAACTTACATTTAATTACACAATTGATTTATATCTCCTTTAAATCTCTCTGTGAAATATGTCTTCGTATTAATACCTGTGATACAAAGAAAACTGAGTGGGTCAGGCTTGGGAGCCTGGTGAGCATATAGGGTTTTCATCCCACAATGTTATATCATATATTTATAAATATAGAACATTCAAACTTGTACAATTTCACCATATAAAGGCAACTCTTATCCCACCCCATCGATCCTCACAACGACACGATCTAAACTCTCGTATCTAAAATTTTCCTCTTTACCTGATCCCTACTCACGGATCTAAAACTAACCTTTTTCACCTGATCCATACTCACGGATCTAAAACTACCCGATCCATACTCACGGATCTAAAACTAACCTCCTAATCTGATCCATACTCCCGGATCAATAATTGTACCCAATCCATACTCCCGGAATAAGGACAATTAACTATACCCTAATCCTGATCTGATCCATACTCCCGGATCAATAACTGTACCCAATCCATACTCCCGGACTAGGGACAATTAACTTAGTCTTAATCCATACTCCCAGACTAATAACAAGTTTTATCTCTTTACCTGATCCATACTCCCGGATCTAAAACTAACCTCTTGGTCTAATCCATACTCGCTGAATAACTAGATCAACAACAACAACATCGGGGCCTCTCATCTGTTTATCACACATCAACTATCTACCCATGTTCTACCCAACATATTAGTAGATAAAAATATATATTTTTATACATAGTTTAAAACCTATATAACATTCTCATTCAATACCTATTCCACATAACAGATGAGGCATACCCACATAACACGTATTTCATAGAGAATAAATCAGATCTATGAAATAGAAGAAAGTGAATATACATTCACGCATATAACAACAAAATATACACATAACACGTATTTTATACTAAATACTTAATAATTATGCGTTAGAAGAAAGTAACCACACACTCACTTGATTAGAAGATGATCGGACAACACTACGACTTGTAGAAGTAGTATTCTTCGGTAGATCTGGAAGATCTTCACAAAAACCGGGCTCCTCGCGGGCAGAGCTTCGGCTCGGGAATCGCACTTCTTGGGATCTTCGAGGCCTCGGTACTTGCTTCGGGGGTCGGCAATGATATCGGGGCTTCGGGATATTATTGGTACGCAAAACGATGCAAAACTTAGAGAGAAAGGAAGAAAAATCGCAAGGAAAATGGCTGATCTCGAGTTCTATTTATAGGCTGCTGGGTCTGGGATTACGCTGGACGTACTTTGACGTCACTGCATGCGTCAATTGGTGGCACTCGAGTATTGGTCAGACAAGTTGCACCCCTCTGAGTACACTGGGCGTACTCAAATTACGCTAGGCGTAATTTGACTCGTCGAACTTCTAAATTGCGTAACTTTTGCATCCGAGCTCTGTTTTCGACGTTCTTTATATCCACGCGTAGGCCAGACCATACTCTACAACTTTCATTTAGACTCCGTTGGCTAGTTTTGACTTTTAATTTTTATTATTTATTTTTAGAAGGTCGGGACAGAAAAACTTCGTTATAAATTCATAACTTCTTCGTCCGACGTCCGTTATCGCCTAACTTTTCATCGTTTCGCTACTAACAACGAGATCTTCGATTCTCTCTTAGATTGTTTCAGCTAAAAACCGCTCGATCTCAAATCGAGTATTCGGGCTGCACACTACTAAGCTGAAACTTAGAAAAATCATAACTTCCTCATACGAAGTCAGATTTGGACGTTCTTTTTATGCATGCTCACGGTTTAATGAACTCTACGAATTTCGTTTAGATTGATAAGGCTAAATATCACTCTAACGCAAATTCACTTTTTTTACGTCATTCAGCGTCGCTCCGGTTCTGTCGCGAAACTTCGACAGGTCATAACTTCTTCGTTATAACTCGGATTTCGGCGTTCTTTATATGCACGGAAACGTTGTAACATATACTATAACTTAGTTAAGATTATTCATTCTAAATAATCTTTCAGCAAAAATCCATTTTTGACGCCTATCGTCTCTAAATTGACTAGCGGGCGTTACATTGAGGGCCTGGAGCATTCCAACCCAATGGTTGATTGGGCACATAGTATGTTGTTATTATATGTTTATTATTTGTTGTGCGGGTATTTTGGGGAATTCACTAATTTCGGGCTTACAATTTTGGATTTTGTTTCAGGTACTTTGGATGATCACAGTTTTGGATTTTGTTTCAGATACTTTGGATGATCGGTGGAAGACGAAGGCGTGATCGTGCACCTCCTCACATTTTATGATTTTGATTTCTGATATACTCTAATATAAAACTATTTTGAAAACATTTTGTAATAAATAATGATTTGTGGATGTTTAAAAAGGTTTAAAATTATTGTGAAATTTATGGATGTTACAGTATCAAGGTAATGTCCATATCTTGTTGAGTTCGACGATCTTGAAGATTCATTCTTGCTGTTTGTTGTATCCTTGTAAACAAATACCCGGAGTGGGTCAAATTTGTTTTAAGAAAACTGTGTCAAACACAAATATCAACTTCCATTAATTACTATTTGGCTTTCGTTATCGTGATTATAGTTTCCTGCAAAGATTTCTTTGGGATGGGAATATGGACTAAAGAAAGATTTGTTGGGTTGCATGTCTTTATTATATAGATGCTTGTTGTAATCAAAGTGAAGCTTCTTAGAGCCTTATGTTACACATTGATATGAGTAACAAAGTGAAGCTTCTTAGAGCCTTATATTACACATTGATATGAGTGATATTGAATGAGAGGAACTCAAGGCTTTTCAAAATGAAGTTTAATTCCCCATTAAAGATAGAATACGACTTTCAGTTGCTTTGATACAATTGGATAAAATATCCGACCTACAGGAGTAGTATAAATTGGTTAGATTATTGTATTAATCTTGTTTATTCTTTTGCCATGTAGTTGCTTATGATCACTTTCTTCCTAGTTTTGTTTTTATTACAGTTGTCTTTTCTTCGATAAAATAAAATTATCAAAATAGGAAATTGGGTCGAAACTTTCTAAAAATTTTAAAGTTAGATGAAAATAAATTGTATCATAAAATCAAATGTTATTGTCATCTCCGCTGGAGAGTTTAAGTCTTATATGTGACGTGGAATCAGGAAAGGTTTAAACATTAATTCATATATTTGTTGTTAAACAAAAATGAAAGTAAATAGTATCTTAAAATCAGTGCCATAGGATTCAAATATAGGTAGCTCAAAAACCAACCAGAAAACACTACGGCTATTGTCGCACATAATTAGCCAAGATACCACGATGCATTCCAAACGTTGGTACTAATAAATCACCATAACAAGGATACTAAACGTATAAAAATGCTTCATATCAACATTTCACACAAGGGAATCCAAATACATGATTGTGGTTAGGTTCATTGGTCTCATGTAGTCGTCTGTACCATTCACTATCTTTTCAACGATCAATCTGCATGCTCGTTCTGACGGATGGAACGCATCCCAAAACACAAACTCGTCTCTGTTTTCGCACAAGTTTGAATACGCATTACAAAAATCTAACCCATTATATGGTCCTTGTCCACAGCAAGCCGATTTTGAAGTTACAAATCCTGCATGCATAATCATTTGAAACGGTCAAATCCCACTTAATCATTACAAATGGTTTTTCACGAAAATGGTTCTTACCATACGCCTGAGGATTGTTCATCATATCAAAGTGCATCAGTCTTGTGTTAGCTGAAATAAACACTTCAGTGCCCAATTCAGCATTAAGGTTTTTAACCATTTGGTCTACTTGTGGTTCAAACAACTCCGCTGCAGCTTGAAGATCGGTTGAACATTCACCACTGAGCTTATTATGTTGCGCAATCTCCGCTGGTGCACAGCCTAGTGGTCCAGAACCTAACAGTATTGCCCTCCTAACTCCCATTTCGTACATTTTCTGTGATAGTTAACAACATTAGTTGTTTTCCAACATCGTCATCCTAATGAATTCTTGACTACAGCTTAATTACCATCAAAATCTTGCGATACTCTGACACAAGGTAGATGACATACTCTTGAAGAGTATATTGTAGAGACCTCGCAGAAAACGGGACCAAGTAATAGTTTTTCACGAAATCATTACCCCCTAAGGAAACAAGAGCTAACGCTCGGTTTACTATATCCTTTGCTTTTTCTTCTCCTACTAAAGAACTCAGTTTTTGTTGGTAAACCTTAAAGTACTCTAATTGTAAGGGCATTGCAATTATCTCTCCCTGTGATGATTAAATTTTGTTTACACACAGACACATATAAATATATTGTTAATTACACTTTTCGTCAACTTACAAACTGGAATCCTGTATCGTTGAGTATTCCTACTCCGGCAGAAGCAAAGTTTGCACCCAAAGGAAGCTTTTCTTCATTCAATTCAAGACTCAAAAACGGAA